GCGAACATTTCACAGGTGCACGGCAGAAGTCAAAGAGTTAAAGTATTTGCTTCCTGGAATACTTACAATAGCGGATGGAGCTGATGTGCTATGATTAGCTACCAAGTATTACAGAGGCAGTATATTTTTATTTTCCAAGTATTAAATCAAAATTTAAGAAATCCCCAAGCCTTGCATGGTGGCACATGCCTTTAATTCCAGCACTTGGCAGGCAGAATCACATGAGTCTCAGAGTTCAAGGTCATCCTGGTCTACAGAGTGAGTTCCAGGACAGAAGAAGAAGAAGAAGAAGAAGAAGAAGAAGAAGAAAGAAGAAGAAGAAGAAGAAGAAGAAGAAGAAGAAGAAGAAGAAGAAGAAGAAGAAGACCTATCTTTAAAAACTCACAAAAAAGAAAAGAAGAGAGAGAGGTGGAGAGAAAAAGGAAAGAAGGGAGGAAGGGAGGGAGGGAGGAAGAAATGCCTATGCAGCAAAGTAAAAGAACGAAGACTTAATGACTGATGAATATTTGTGAACTTCTGTAATGAAAGACCTAAATTCTCTCCTATTAATTAACTATTAAATAAAGTTATCATCCTTATTAATTAAAAATACTTAGCAAGGCTGTTAAGTACAAGGTTAACATATAAAAGTTGATCTCATTCCCTCCAAGCATGGTTGTACGTACCTGTAATCTAGTATGTGGGAGATGGAGGCAGGATCATGAGTTCAAGGTTACCCTCAGCTACTTAAGTGAGTTTGAAGCCAGCCTGGACTACATTAAACTCTGCCTTAAGAAACAAAATAAATAAATAAATAAAAATTAAATAATTTTCTGTCAGTCATGTGCAGTTAGAAAAGCCAACATTAGAAACCTGGACAATTTTAATTGTAACAAAAATTTACATCTAAGAATAAATATAACCAAATATTATTGTTTTCAGCTCCATCCTTTACCTGAAAATTTTAATTTTTGAGAGATGACTAAAATTCCAATGTGCACACATGCCACATTTCATTATCCATGCATCAGTGGATGAACATCCAGGCTACCCCCTGACTATGGTGACGGGAGGCACAGTGACCGTGGGTAGTACCTCCATAGTAAGATATAGATGTCTCTGAGGGTTTGCCCAGAGTGGAACCGCTGGACCCTATGTTAGATCTATACTAACTTTCTGAAAACCCCCATGCTGATTTCCATAACAGCCTCCAGTTTGCACTCCCACCAATGGTGAAAATTGTCTCCCTTTTCCCATATCTGTGCCAACATTTCCTATTCATGTTCTGTTTTGTTTAGGGGAATAAGGTTGTTTTGTTTTCCTTTTTCTTTTATTTTAGTCATTCTGATTAGGGTAAGATGAAATCTCAAAGGGGTTTTAATTTTTCACTTCCCTTATGGCTATGAATGTTGAATATTTTTAAAAATAGTTTTGAGCTGATTGTACTTCTTTTGGGATTCTCTATTTAGTTACGTGCCCCATTTTTAAAATTGGGCTGCCTTCTTGGTGTTAAAGTTTTTTTTTTTTTTGCATGTTCTAGACATTAACACTATCAGAAATAAGGTTGCTAAACATTTTCCCCACCCTTCAGTCTGCCTATTTACTTAAAGGTGCCCTATACTGGAGTCAGATTCAGAGTCCTCATCTGTGCCTACAGCTTGAAGCGCATCCTATCTTTCCATCTTTAGATGTATTTACACTGATGTAGTCTTAGAGGTTGGGAAAGTTAGGAGCCATTGGGGGGATATTTCAAGGGGCGGAGGACAGAACACAGATGATGTGAAGAAGGAAAGAGGAGAAACGGAGGTTCAGTGAGGAGGCAGACGGGAGGACATACAGAGGAGTCTCAAGAGGAACTCACACTAGAGACTTGGGAAAAGCCGTACTGACTACTGTAGACGCTTCATGAAATACATAAATCAATTCACTAACACAGTGAAGCAGCTGTGTTTCACGCTAACGGGTGGGTAACGCCCCTCTCAGATGCCATAGGCTGGTAAACAAAAACCCCGGTCCCAGTTATGGGTTACCAGACCAACAAAGCAAAAGAAGAAAGGAAAAAAGAATTTCGCCGTGGAAGCTGCGGTGTGACTTCCTTCTTTAGTCCTTCCATCTTGACCTGCAAGAGCCGACTGCCATGCATCATCGGTCTGCCTCGAGGCCTCTCTCCTCCACCACACCAGCAGCAATGAGCTCTCGCTTGACTCCCTGGGCCCCTGGACCTCCCGTGTCATGGAGACACCACAGCTCTGGCTATCCAGCTCCCTCGACCTCCCGTGTCATAGAGACTCCACAGCCCTGGCCCCTGGACCTCCCGTGTCATGGAGACCCCACAGCCCTGGGCCCCTGGACCTCCCGTGTCATGGAGACCCCACAGCCCTGGCTTCCTGGCCCCATGGACCTCCCGTGTCATGGAGATTCAGCAGTCCTGAATCTAAAGGTTCCCACCGCTCTCCTGCTCCAATGGCTCACACAGATGTATCATCTGTCTGCATCGATGGATGTTGGGGTGGGCCATCCACAGCCCGGGTCCTGGGCCTGGATGCCAGCTTTTCCCTATTGTCTACAGTCCCTACCCTTACCCCCTACAGGTTTACACACACACACACACACACACACACACACACACACACACCGGGCATGCTCTCCAGTACTGCCTCGACCAGTCCATCCATCACAGCCTGCAGGAATCTGTCACAAGTTGCCGGGCCAGTTCTTTGCTCAGGCCCTCGGTCCAGCTCACACTCACACCACCAGGGCCAGTTGCACTGTCTTGCCCAGCCAAGGGGCAAGAGCCCTCTTATCCGCTTGCTGTAGGGACTTGCATCTTTTTAAACTGTTGATCAATAGGGCCCCATAGATCACTTCAAACATTCCAGGCTGTGGCCATTGCTCTTCTGTGCCCTTCAGAACTTTATGGTAAGGCTCTATTGCTAAAGACACACATAACTGAGTCATAGGAAATGGAGAAATTAAGCTGGTACCAACTTGGAAGTTTCATCCCCACTGCCTAGCTTCCTTGCTGCTGGAGGGGGCTGTGCTCACCACTGGGGGAGAAAAATAACCAATAGTCTTACCCAGCTGTGAACCCTGCAAGCTACAATGACACTGGCCTGGAAGGATATGCCACTACACAAGAACTCATGCCTGCCACTGTTAACTGGGCCAAGAACCCATGGCTGTGTCCATCCTCGACCCTAGGAGGCACCCTCCTACTGTTAGTCTACTAATGGAAACGGTGTTAGACTGTTCCCTGTGCTCTTTATAGCCATAGACAGTACATCCCTCAGCCCTTACCAGTGATACTTCTCTTCGCAGTGTATGGCAATTAATAAAAATATTCACAACTGCTGAACATGCAGAGAAAAGGGGACTAGAGAGTGCTCAGCCCTAACTGGGACATGTATATCACATTCCCCGCCCCTACACACACACACACACACACACACACACACAAGGCTTAGGGCTCATCTGGAGAGTGAAGAAAGATCGTAAGAGCCAGAGGTAGTGGGTACCCACTGATAAGCAGTGTTTTCTGGCCATGGCCACAGCGCCTGTGCAGACACCATCTCAAATGTCTGTAACTGCATACACAGATCTGAGCAAGATCCAGGGTCCCAAAACTCCCAGCATGGATGGGAGAGGAGCTTTTGGAGCTCCGCCGCTTGCCGAGGAGCTGTTGGCATTGAGAACTGCAGTGGGAGGGGGAGCACATTTTCCTCAGGAATGTAGGTGGCCCTGTATGCATGCACATAGCGACAGACCTGGAGCACTGTGTGAACTCAGTGGGCCTAATAAAAGAAGTGAAGTCGAGAAGGGAAACTGGGCAGGGCATAGGGGAAGAGTTGGGGGGCCTGGGTGGATCTGATCAAAATATAGCCTATGTATGTATGACATTCTCACACAATAATATATATATACATATATGAATTTCACATATATAATCAAAAAATGAGCAAGACCTTTTGGAATGAAATTGTATTTCATAAGAGGTATTAAAAGATAACCCATGCCAACACTGTGACCCAAGCTAGAGTCATCTGAAAGGAGGGAACCGCAATTGAGAAAATACCTCTGTAGGGTCAAACTGTAGGGCATTTTATTAATCAGTGATTAACACGGTGATTGATGAGGGCAGGCCCAGCTCACTGGGGGTGGTGCCATCTATTTCTCATCTAGGACCATCAGGGCAAGTGGTCCTAGGTTCTGTAAGAAACCCTCCTGAGCAGGTAGTGGTGGCACATGCCTTTAATCCCAGCACTCGGGAGGCAGAGGCAGGTGGATCTCTGTGAGTTTGAGGCCAGTCTGATCTACAGAGCAAGTTACAGGACAGGCTCCAAAGCTGTCTTTGGACTTTTCTTCTGACAGAGAAACCTTGTCTCGAAAAACAAGACAGAAAGACAGAAGGAAGGAAAGGAAGGAAGGAAGGAAGGAAGGAAGGAAGGAAGGAAGGAAGGAAGGAAGGAAGGAAGGAGGGAGGGAAAGAGGGAGGGAGGAAGCAAGGAAGCAGCCCGAGCAAGTCATGGGAAGCAAGCCAGTAAGCAGCACCTCCATAGCCTCTGTATCAGCTTCTACCTCCAGGTTCTTG